TTGACCCTCACAGAACCACGTGCCCATCTGCATATACAGGCACAGTAACTAATCCTGATGGTCGCTGGGCAGTGGTGGCGCAGGCTTTAATCCAAGCCTGGTCTACAGAGTGAGTTCCAGTAAAATCACCTCTCAAAAACCCTAAAGGTAGGGGAAATACACAAATAAAGGCGTAGCTCATGAAGAACAAATCACAAGACAGAACACCATCACATGACAACAGAAGGTCATGGCGTGAAGGCTATGAGGACCACGGCCTCTCTCCTTCCCCTCACCCCAAGTGCACAAACACGCAACCCCCCTATCAAGGAAAAAAATCCTGAGATGAGAAGGTGGCCACAAACGGCCCTGGAAAAGATCCCTCACCACAAGCAGCCCTTCCTGGCCTTCGTCCATGATCTCCCTGCCTCCAGAACGATGAGAAATGAACACCTGGGCTATGGTATTTACAACAAAGAATACAAAACAACTCTCCTTTATCTGCTTGTGGGCTCCCACAATTGTGAACTCAATTTCGATTTGCGCGCGCATGTAATTGTGTAAATGAAAGCCATGTGTATGCATGTACCTGCAGAGGCCAGAAAGCAGCACTGGGTCCCCTAGAGCTGGAGTTTTAAAAGGTGGTGAGCACTGTGGGGGGTGCTGGGAATCAAACTCCCGTCCTCTGGAGAGCAGCCAGTACTCAACCACTGGGCCCTCTCTAAAGCCCCTCACTGAATTATACTGAACACAGACTTTTGCCATTCCCTAGGCAATGCAATAGTTACTTACATAACATTAACCAATAGGTTATTGTATATAACAACTGCTTAAAGCACACAGAAGGACGTGTGTAGGTTATATGCAGTTCCTATGCCATTTCATTCATGGCTCATGCAAACTTGTGGGGTTTGTCATTTGCAAGGGGTCCCTGGCATCTCTTGCCAGTATTACAGGGCAGCTATATAGACTTCCACACCCCTTTATCAGCCACAGATCAAAGTAGGCAGGGCACAGGCAGGGTGTTGCAAACTTCTAGACTACCAACTACTAGACTTTCTGACATGAGCCAACACTCCAGCCAGTAGGGGCAGAATATGCCTTCTCTCCCAAGTTCCCCAGGAACCACATACCAAAAGAGAATGAATCCTGGGGCCACACAAGCCTTCCCGAACTGAAAGATTCAAACCTGTACATACCACGGTAGAATCAAAGCAGGAACCAATGGCAAAATGGCAGGAGGTCAGCCTGCAAAGTGGGAAATGAGTCGGGGCATAGAGACGTCTCCAGGGCTGGAGAGATGGCTCAGAGGTTAAGAGCATTGCCTGTTCTTCCAAAGGTCCTGAGATCAATTCCCAGCAACCACATGGTGGCTCACAGCCATCTGTAATTGTATACATAATAAATAAATAAATAAATAAATAAATAAATAAATAAATAAATAAATAAATATTTTAAAAAAAGAGAGAGAGAGAAGTCTCCAAAGAACTGATAATCGGCCAGGGAGGGAGGGGAGGGCAGAGGAGTGGGGGCACCGAGGGGTGGGTGGGGAGCTGGGGAGGTAGTAGCAGCTGCTGCAGAGTGGGTTGGGTCGTAGCACTAACTGCACACTGGGACACAGTGCAGACAAGCCCAGAGCAAGATGTCAGAGGACAGTGGAACCAGAATTGGGGATCTGAAAGCCAGTAAGAAGCAACAGAGCAGTCTTCTAGGAACGTTCAATACAACGGTCAAAACCTCCAGCAAAACTGAGAAACGAGGAACTACCAACCACTCAGGCAGCTTCCTGCGAACGTTCCTCAAATCATCTCACAAAATGAGGTGGAGCCAGCCCTTTAAACATGGAGAATCGCGGCCATCCATGGACTCTCCAAGGTGTGCCCCTGATGACCTACCGTGTGAGCAGGCACCAAGCCATTAACCGTGGGCCTTTGAGAACATCATTCAAATCCTGGCAACCAATATCAGAAATGAACCAGCCGCAGGCCCCGCAGCCCTCAAAGGGAGAGCTACGTGTACTATGCGCACAATTCACAGGTACATGCAACAGACCTGAACCAAAGCCAGGCATACCACATCAATCGGCAATCAAGAAAATGTCCACTAGCCGGGCAGTGGGGGCGCACGCCTTTAATCCCAGCACTTGGGAGGCAGAGGCAGGTGGAGTTCCTTGAGTTTGAGACCAGCCTGGTCTACAAGAGCTAGTTCCAGGAAAGGCTCAAAAAGTCAGAGAAACCCAGTCTCAAAAAATCAAAAAAGAAACTAAGTTTACTGGTTTAAGGATGAACATACGGACCAATGGGCTAGAAAGGCCAAAATAAACACTTCTTACATATACAGTATTTTCTTACTCGAATGGTATTTTCTTTCATGTAAGGTATTTTCTTACACAAACGGTATTTTCTTACACGAACGGTATTTTCTTACACGTACGGTATTTTACACATACGGTATTTTACACGTACAGTATTTTCTTACACAAATGGTATTTTCTTACACGAACAGTATTTTCTTTCACGTACGGTATTTTCTTACACGTACGGTATTTTCTTACACGTACGGTATTTTCTTACACGTATGGTATTTTCTTTTTGAGATGGGTGTAAATGGAGACCGCTTGTTCGTTTCCCAGCCGCCCAGACCCAAATCATCACACAGAAACTTTATTAATTACAATACTGCTTGGCCTTTTAGCTCAGGGTTCTCATTAACTCTTACTTCTTGAATTAATCCATTTCTGTTCATCTGTGTATTGCCACGAGGCTGTGACTTACCGGAAAGGTTCCGGGCCCTTCTCCTTCACTTCAGCAGCTCCATGGCATCTCCCTGACTCCGCCTTCTTTCCTCCCTATCTCTGCTTGGAATTCCCACCTCGTTCTATTCTGCCCTGCCATAGGCTGAAGAAGCTTCTTTATTAGCCAATGGTCTCAGCATACAGAAGAATCCCACATCAGATTGGGGTCTTGAGATACATCGCCCAAGCTGTCCTTGGCCTTCCATAGAGCTGGGGCGACAGCTAAAGAACTGGGGAGTATTATGTTGGCCAGGGTACCAGCACTGTGAACCAGAGTCCAACCGTGGTTTCAACAGTGGTGCTGAGAACGCTGCATCCACACACAAGAAAGCAACTGTTGTGCCATGTTTTACTCTTGGCTCTTTTGAGGGGCCCACCACCCAGCTCCCAAATAAATCACAAAGAGGCTTATTCTCAGTTATGAATGCCCGGCCTTAGCTCGGCTTGTTTCTTGCCAGCTTATCTTAAGTTATCCCGACTACCTTTGCCTCCGAACTTCTATCTTCTTCTGTTTCTGTCATACCTTTTCCACGGCTGATTCCTGGCTTCCTCCTCTCCTTCTTCTCTTGCTCCTTGTCCTCATTTCTCCTGTTCATCCTCTCCACCTGCCAGCCCTGCCTATCCTTGCTCCTGCCTTGCTATTGGCTGGTCAGCGCTTTATTAGATCATCAGGTGTTTTAGACAGCAAAGAATCACAGCTTCACAGAGTTAAACAAATGCAGCATAAACAAAAGTCACACACCTGAAAATAATAATTCCCCAACAAATAACAGTCTCACATCATGTGATCCTCACGCCAGTACAAACTTCAGATCCTTAATGAGCTAAACATGGAGTTGGGCAGTAGTGGTGCACTCCTTAAAATCCCAGCACTTGGGAGGCAGAGGCAGGCGGATCAAGGCCAGCCTGGTCTACAGAGCGAGTTCCAGAACAACCAGGGCAGTTACACAGAGAAACCCTGTCTTGAAAATAAAATAAAATAATAAAATGCCCTCAAAGCTGTAGGCGAGACTAAACTGTAAATGTGAATATAAACCAGAGAACCTGTCTCTCTCCTCCATGTGGAAGAACAAGAAGAAACAAGAAACGCCTACTGCGTTGGTTACTCCAGACTTAGCAAGGCTCTCACAGCCCCGCATCCACACCCACTGCCCGGGAAGTGTTCCCAGAGGCCGCAGCTCTCTGAACAACGAGGCTCCCCCTGGACTTCAGAAATCAAACTAACTGCAATCAGAGCCCTAAACGGCCAAGCCTGTTCATTAGAGTCTTTTTCCTGGGCCTCCCCCAGCCGAGGTTGTACAAGACTGAGAACTTGGAGTGGTCTCTGCCCGCTCGCTTTTCCCCCCACACTCTGGGGGCCACCGGTCAGAAGCACATCTCGGGCAAACCCAGCTGTGACACCACCTTGTGCTGTCTCTGCCCTGTGCCATCTTCAGCTTTCCCGGCTTCTGAAAAGGGGACATTATTTTCCTTTATGTTGCCTTCAGGGCACACACAAGCCAATCCCCACATCCTCATGTCTGTTCCATAGGACCAGGTTAGAACGGGACACTTTCCTCATGGGAGCCGGTTGGGACCTGTCTGCTGTGGTCAGCATGACAGCAATGTGAGCCCAGGTCTTTCCCACAGCGTCCCACTTGGTGTTGGTCTCACACACACGCGCGCGCGCGCGCACACACACACACACACACACACACACACACACACACACACAGCAACCACCCGCGCTGGCAGAGCAAGGCGAGATGGACGTCCACTCCCATCTGAATGCACACCTTGCCTCTGTCAAGAGGAGCGGGCGTTCCAAACTTAGTGATGAGGCCACAGGAGGACCGGACAGAGGTGGGACCAGGGCAGACCTAACTGTTCCAGCCTGAACTCTAGATAACCTGAGTGGGAGCCAAGGACGCTGCGGTGTGGCTACGGGTGCTGCTTGTAGCCAGTCACTTTCCTGCTGTGCCTTCTCTGCAGGCCCTCTGGAAGGGGCGGGGCTTTTGCTGTCCCCCGACTTCCTGCTGGAGCACCTGTGACCCCCAGGGGACTCTGATTTGCTTTCATAGTGTCCTCTCCTGGCCCTGGCCGGCTGGGCAACGTGAAGGCTCCAGGAAAGTGCTTTTCCTCAGAACCTCCCTGAGCTGGGGGCACCCGGGCATCTGGCCAGCCACCTGTGACACTGCAGGGCACAGGGCCTGGCCTCGGCTGCACCCCAGAAAGAATACTGGTCTGCTTGCAGTTCAGAGGTTTATTAGGGAGCCGTCTGGGCCAGCTGGTGTTTACATGCTGGATCCCTACAGCCCAGGTGTGCTGGCTGTGGGGGGCGGAGGGCACTCACTGCACGCCTGGTCACTGGTGATGTCACTCCAGGAAGATGGGCCTTCCCCCTGGGTCCCAGGCACCAGGGCTCTCAGAGAGCCTCCACTCTGGCAGACTGGCCTGAGGAGATGAGGGGTTTTAGGATCTCGGTGTAGTAAGGGCCGAACACCTGCTGGTTGTGGTGCGTCAGGCTAACAAACTTCTGGCCCAGCTCTGCCAGCTCTGCTTCAATGAGCGTGAGGCCTCCAGGAAGGTCCAGCAGGGATCGCTGCACGCCAAGAACCAAGCAACATTTGAGGAACAAGTGGATCCGCTGATCTGTGCACAGGACGAGAGGGAGGTGACTAGAGCCACAGAGCACCTGGGGTCCTGCTGCTCAGTCACATGCTCACAGAGGAGGGGGACCAGAGTTGTCTGGGGACAGCTGTCTAGTTCTCACAGGTACCGGGTTACCGAACCTCAGAGTACTCAAGACTGCTTAGTATTGGGGTGTGGCTCACATCTGTAGTCCCAGAACCCAGAGGCAGAGACGGGGAAAGCCATGAGCAAGGCCACCCTGAGACAGACAGTGTCCAGGCCAGCCTGGGCCGCAGCAGTAGGCCTGGGATTGACATCAGAGAAGAAACCATCCGATTCCTCCAATCAACTGGGTCTGTACTACAGAGCGACGCCTCCTGCTGGAGAGCAGGTGTGGATGTCCCAATGAGCGACTTTAACCAGGCGGGGTGGGCAGAATTCCTGTGTGCAGGCCTCCTTTAGGCCCTTTCCATCTTTGACTGGAAAAGCCTGTGCTCAGGGCCTGGAGATGCACCCACTCCATGGCTGCCCCCCAGCGCCCTCACCGCCCACGCATGGCTTCCCCCCCCCAACGCCCTCACAGCCCACTCCATGGCTGCCCCCCCAGCATCCTTACCGCCCACACACATGGCTGCCCCCCCAGCGCCCTCACAGCCCACGCATGGCTGCCCCCAGCGCCCTCACTGCCCACACATGGCTTCCCCCGCCCAAGCACCCTCACAGCCCACGCGTGGGCGCTCACCAATGACGCTGCGGACGCAGTTTTCCTTCTTGGCAATGTTCTGGAGCTGTCCTACCAGAGACGCCGAGTTGTCACTGCTCAGAGGGGCGAGGCCCATGTTCTTGAGGCTTCGGTGGATTTCCTGGGTCACCTGCTCGCTCACAGTCTGCATGGTCTCCTCAGGCCTAGACCACGACAGAGGTGAGCTGGCACCTAGTAGGTGGCTTCAGGCAGCAGCTAAGAGTTTAGGGACTTGGGACGAGTGACAGTTGCCCACCCCAGCCGCCCAGCACCGAAGCCCAACACTGGCAACCTCTGTAAAAGTTGCCGTGTACTGAACGGTGCTGAAGGGCGTCTCCTCAGCCATCTTCGGCTTCAGCGCAGCACAAGTTCAGGAACGCTGCTGCCAGCACCAGCCGCCATCACCCGCCCAGTGAGAGACGAGCCTGCAGCTCAAGGTCTCACAACACCATTTTTGGAAAGTGCCCCTGCCATTCTCCCCCATACGCCCCAGTATTACTACAGAGATAAAGAGGCACTGGCTGGTTCTAGAGGGCCTCTCTCTGTGATTTGTGGTGAAGAGCCAGTAACCCATGACCTGCCAGTACCTGAGACACCTGGTGCCACCTACTCTTCTGAGGACGCCAGGGGCCAGCTGCTGACCCCAGGCCTTGTCTCAGTAGCTCTCTGCCTTCTTTCTCTCTGAACCCGGTCCGCGTGCCAGCCGACTAGGCTAGCTGATCTTGAACCCACCCCTCACAAGCGCTGGAGTTACAGATGATGCCCACATGTCTGGCTTTTTGTTGTCTTTTTGGAGACAGGGTTTCTCTGTGTAGCCCATACTGTCCTGGAACTGGCTCTGTAGACCTGGCTGACCTTGACCTCACAAAGATCCTTCACCTCTGCTTCCAGCGTTCTGAGATTAAGGGCTGTGCGCAACCACCGCCAGTCCAAGCATGCTGGGGCTACACCCTTACCAGCTGAGCCATCTCCCCAGCTCCTTCCTGCTAACCCTCACCTGGAGTTGAAGTCCTCCACCAGGGACTTGGTTATCCGTTTCAGCTTATCCACAAACTGGGGTGAGCCAAACAGAACACTGCCAGAGAAGCTACTGGCCACCAGCAGGACGGAGGCAAGGACTGTTAGGTGGTTCCGTTGCAACTCCAGCTCCTGCAGTCGGGTTCTGTCCATCAGCAGGGTCTGAGGAGGGGGAGGGGCCGTCAGAGCGCTCTAACCAACACTCAGAGCCCAAAACGAGGAAATGCTCCCCATATCCCCACCTCAGGGAACTCTTCATTCTCAGGGTCCCAGATGAGAAGGTTCAGGAATCCCTGGGACAGCACCATTGCAGGGCTGAGCGGCTCCGAGGCAGCGGCGTCACTGGGAGACGGGCCAGGCGTGCTGGAGGAGTCCAGTGTGTCGGGGCAATTTGCAGGGGGGGTGGTGAGGTCTGCGGCCGCCTGGGTCAGCCACTTAGTGGTGTGGTTGAGGAGGCCTGCAATGGGAGGGGTGGAAGCCTCTACCTATGGGGCTTTAGGCCACGGTTCTCCTTAGCTAGTACTGTTTATGTTGAGCATGGTGGTGCCTGCCCTCAGGAGCTGAGGTGGGAGCATCACCAGGTGTTTGGGGTAGGCTGACCTACATAATGAGTTTCCGAATAGCCAAGGCTGAAGAGTGAGATCTTACCTCAAAAAACTAAAATAAATCACTAAATTAAAATGTTAAAAAAAAAAAAAAAAGGTATGAGTTCCTGGTTAATCTGCCTTCCCTCTCCCACTGCGGGAAGAAGCGACCTCTTCCTAAAAGGCAGAATGGCCCTTTGCAAACATCAGGTGTGAGCCGTCGGCACCTCTGCCCTCAAGTCAGACATACTGGGCTGCTTGTTGAGACGCTCCTGGAACTGGGCCCGCTCGAACTGGATGGAATGCTCCTGCGGCTGGGGCTGGAGGCTCTGGATGGTGTAGTTTACCATGTCCATCTTCATCAGTCCCAGCACTTGGAAGATTCCCCTAAGCAGGAGAGAACAGTGCTGGAAAAGGGACCCGACGGGAGGGAAGCCAGGAGGGTGACTGGGGCATGCAGGACAGCCAAGACCAAGGCCCACAGGGAGCGGGTGGCACACGGGCATGCTCTCTCCTCTGAGACCTGGGGTGGCGGTGTGCAAACAAGGGACCCTCCACTGGGAGAGCCAAACAGAGAAACTGTGAGGTCAAACCCTGCAAAGGGCCACAGGGCAAAGCCACACGGCGGAAGACGGAGTTCTAGTGACGCTACTCCGCACTCAGGCGTGGGGCGCTGGTGCTTTTCAATTTTAACTTGCTGAGCGCACTTCCTAAGCGCCACACGGCCATACACCAGGAGACACGCTGCCGTGCCTTAGATAAGTGTGTGAACGGAATGTTCCTCACACCTTGGAATTCTGTCTACCGCGTGTCTTTCTGGGAGCAGGGTGCCAAGCTGTCTCCAGCAGAAGACAGTTAACGGCTGTCCCACTGTCTGCTACCCTTCCCGGCTCGGGACCTGGAGCAGGCTAGGCAACTCATCACACCTCAGCAGCCGGACAGGATCCGCAATGTTCTCGAGTCTCTGCACGGCCTCATCCCGGACTGGCGCACACAGCAAGACCATCGTGTTGAGGATGTACTTAGAGAGATAGGTGACATTCAGGTCCCCACGGTCAGCTTGCTGATGGAGGAAGTCCATGTCCAAAGCCTCTTCGATCTCACTTCTGAGGCGGGTCTGGCGTGGTAAGAGCAAGGACAACAGGATCTGCCAGGCAAGTCAGAAGAGTACGTTCTGCTCAGTCTGGCGGTTTCCCCAGCGCTCAACCCCCTACAAACACCAGCCTGTCTCTTTAGGATCAGGAAGCTGCGGCAGACATGTTCTGCTGAGTATTATCGTAGCTAGTAATAACTCTGTCACAGAGTGAGATAAAGAGATTAATAAAACACAGAGTGCGTGGAACACAGACGAGCTGCATTGAGAGCATGTAGGTTCAGTTCCCAGCACCCACACGGTGCTCACAGCATCTCTAACTCCAGACCAGGGGCTCTAGTGCCCTCTTCTGGCATCCCTGGGCACTGCATGCACAGATACACATGCAGGCAAAACACCATACACAGAAAATAAAAATACTTTATTTATTTGTGGTTTTTCAAGACAGTGTTTCCCTGTGTAGCCCTGGCTGTCCTGAAACTCTCTTTGTAGATTAGGCTGGCCTCAAACTCAGAGATCTGCCTGCTTCTACCTCCTGAGGACTGGAAATAAAAATTAATCTTAATTGAAAAAAAGAACTAAAAAATGTACCCTTAATTTACAAAGGGTAGTTCTTTATTTTTTAAAATTATTTCAGAGGGAGAAGGCAGAGATCAGAAGAGCTGCAATGGGGTCGCTGATCCCCAAACGTGAGCTCCTGGTAACTGGCTCTAATTTATTTATCCCTGTGTCTGCACAGCACACACAACACGTGGAGCTGGAGGGCGGAATCACGACTGTTTAGCAGAATCCAGCAGCCAGCTCCAAGCCTACCAGACATGACTGCTTCCTGATACCTATTTCAGTGGGCAAGCTTCCAAAGCTACCACCCAGAGCCTCTTTGTTTCAAGCCAGCCCTGGGAAGCCGAGGCTGACCTCCCATGCAACCACACACCTCTGGGTTCCTTTGCTGAGGTTGCAGCAAGTTCCCTCTGTACTCGTCAGAGGGCGCTAAATATACAAGAGAAAGAGCCTCCTCCGGCCCCAGCTCTCTAAAGGAAGCTGGTCAACCCCGCACAAGCTCAGTCGGTCCCAGGGCTTGTCAAGATATCGTCCCTAAAAAAGGCAGGTCACTGTGCCTCCAATCGCCCACCACGAATAAAGCACATTCTTTTTGTTTGTTTGTTTTGTTTTGTTTTGTAACTTTCAAGGCAGAACACACCAGTATAGCCGAATGGGGTAACTCACTCAGCACGTTTGTATCCGCTGCTTCAAAATTCTTCAGGATTCTCTTTATCCTTAGCTCTCTCCCATGTCCTGCTGTAGTTACTGTACATGACGTCTTCCTGTTCTGTCTAGTCACCTGGGAAACTAGGATTTGCAGCCACTGCCCCCTGGGGCACTAAGGTGGCTTTGGAAGAGCTGCAAAGCCGGCCACTCACCTCCTTGACCTCTTTCAGAAGTTCAAGGGCACAACTGAAGTCAGGGGGCACAGACGACAGCTGCTCCTTCAGATGGTCCCAGAAGTCACTGGGCATTGTCTCCTTGCCCTTGCCGTCCAGGCTACAGGAGGGGCGAACACACAGGTTACTCACTGCGCGGGGAAACCGGCCAGGCTCGGAGTCTAAGCCCTGGAGAGAACAGCGGGAGCCACAGCAGGGTGGACTCCCCGAAGGCCAGGTGGGCTTTCAAGCACGCTCAGGAGCCCGAGTGTAGGATAAGTCTTCCCTGCGTGCCTCGCTGTGTGTGTACGTGTGGAGGAACCTGCACGCATGTGCTGCGCTGAACAAGAAGTTACTCTTTTTCTTTCACTCCTAAATTCTAGGAAAATATTTCCCTGTCTTGACAATACTTGAATGTCAGACACCTCCAGATCAGTCAGGCTTAACATAAATTGACTCACTGGGCAGTGGCGCATGCCTTTAATCCCAGCACCAGGAGGCAGAGGCATGGAGTGTCAGGATTCAGACATTCTACTGGCCCCTGCCACCTGGCAGGATGAACCAGGCAGTGCCCTGGCCAGCCCAGGTTCAATGACTGCTTCCTCACTATGTAGTCTGTACACAGTGCCAAGGTACAGTACTCAGGTGCTGTCCCTTTAAGAGACAAGCCCCACTTTCTCTCTCTCTCTCTCTCTGCCATTTCTCTGAGGAGGCAGGTCACTGTCTTTCTCTCTCCCTCTCTCTCCCCTTCCTTCCCATGTAAGCTCTGTCTGATGACATGTTTATCCCCTGCCATGAAATCCGTGGTCCCACCTCGCTGCCTGTCATTACAGGGGGAATCTCTGGAGTTCCAGGCCAGCCAGGGCTACACACACACACACACACACACACACACACACACACACACACACACACA